CTTGAGTGATTTCAAATTTAGGAAAAATGAAGCTTTTTAAAGTTTGAAAACCAATTTTCTAGTCTAGATTCGGCATTAGAGACTTAAATCTTTTTTAAAATGTTCGTCTTTCCATGCTGACTCCGAATATCATATTGAAAAGCTTTTTCTAACGCACAATATTTTACAAAACTCATTTTTTCTGACACCTATAGATGGAAAACTACGGTTTCCCCGAAACCATACTTCCAAGGGTTTTGCAGAACACTTTTTAGAGACAAAAAGAAAGAGCGTGTCAAGGAACCCCTAGGAACCAAATGACAACTTGATCTGTTCAGCCAGTTTTAAGATAGTTTTCTCGTGGAACACGCCTATTAATAAAATCTATCGATTATTTTTCCGACATCATAGAAAATAAGGCAAGTTAGTTCGATGTAGAATTGTTAAAGTTCCAGAGTTCTCTAGAATGGCTACCCGACATCAAATATTAAGTGACTGTGAAATTCAAGAAATTTTGGCTGATTCTGCTTCTGAAAGCGAGGCTGAAATTGAAGGTGACGGTGAAGAAGAAGATAATTATGAGGATATGGAAGTAGATGAACCTGAAGAAACTTCTATCAATTTTTCTGCGAGTAATCGTCGAACAACACGAAATCAAAATGTGCCGTCTCCAGTATGGTCTACTGGCAATTTCAGGCCTCATTTGTTCCATTTTGATTCAAGCGAATCTGGTTTGACACAGTATTTGATGAATCATCAGCTTCAGGTTTCACTAGATTTTTTTTCAGTTCTATTTTGATCAAACTCTGATGGATATAATTGTAACAGAAACAAATCAATATTGTCTACAAAATTCTAAAAATACTTTACCACATGTTGCTCATTGGATGGATACAAGTATTGATGAAATGTATGTATTTTTGGCTACAACTCTTCTAATGACTCATGTAAAAAACTATAAAATAAAAGATTATTGGTCAACTGATGAATTAATATTGACTCCTGTTTTCAGCCACATTTTTTCAAGAGACAGATATTTAGCATTGCTCAGATACATACATTTCAATAACAACGATAACTACACAGCTAAAGATAGGTGGTTCAAAGTGAAGCCTATCATTGATTGTCTCAATCCTTATCAGAACTTGGTAATCGCTGAGAGTCTTATGTTATGGAAGGGTAGACTTAGTTTCAAGCAATATATTCCTTCAAAACGGCATAGATTCAGTGTCAAGCTTTATATTCTATGTGATTCTGACACTGATTATATATTACCCTAGTGAAACTTCTTGTAACCAAGATCTTGACTTCTTGAATTTTTTCAGTAAGATCTTGATTCAAGATCTTGGTAAGAAAATATAAGAATTCAAGAAATTTCAAGAAGTCAAGATCTTGAACA